GAGGAATATACGCGTGTCTAGCTGAGATGAAATGTATATAACTAAAAGAATGCGAGAGAGTGTGGGTATTGAGAAAATTCTGGAAATTGGTTGGGAGGTCCCTAGCTCCTCGAAGTGTTAGGATCCATATTCTATCGCCTTATTTCATCTCTGTTTACTGCTATTCCATTGTTATTCTGAATACATGTATGAAATATACCATTTGGGTTCCATTAAATTCTGTCTCATCTCTATATTGTGCATTGTTCCCGTGTGTGGTTGTGTGGAGTCTGATTCAATAGAAAGGGGTTTCCATCAGCTTGGTATCAGAGCTTGGCTGGGAATGGTAAAATCAAAGATGGAGAACAAAATAGATAATGTGGAAAAAGAAATGAAATCGGTTAAGGAAGACATGAGCTCAATGAAGACTGATTTGGGAAGTGTTAAAGAATATCTGACAGAGATGCGAGAGTTAATGAGGTTGAGGGAAGAAAGGGATGAAAAGCATTATCAGGAGAAGGAGAAGGCTTCATAGTCCTTGGAGAATCACAATGACAGAGGTGACCGAGAGACAGGATGGGAAAACAGTGGTGACACAAGGAAGGAGGAAAGAAAGTCAGGAAGCTTGAACTCCCATTTTTAATAGAGATGACCACTTGGTTGGACATTTCGACAGATCACTATTTTTCCATAAATCGTTATGAGGAATCAGAGATGGTGAAGCTACCGCCATGTGCATGGAGGGAAAGCACTAATTAGTACCAATGAGTTGATTCACGAGAACCATTAGGTTGTGGAGGGAATTTAAAGCGGCTCTATCGTCAGATTCAGGCCATCGTTCCAAGGCTCTACGCATGAGGCTCTGGTAGCTCTAAAGCAGACATCCACTGTGACTGAGTACAAGAAGACTTTGAGGCTCACACGGACGGTTGAGGAGTTGGGTGAAGAAATTTTATGGTGTATTTGTCAATGGGCTTAGGGAGGAGATTAGGGCTAATTGCTTTGATGAGGCCAAGTCACTTAATGAAATCATGGAGCAGGCCCATAGGGTGGAGGAAAAAATTGGGTTTTAGATAGATGCAAGCCAAAGTTTACTAAAGCCCAAGGGTTAAAGACTTTACTCTAAATATCCATCACCCAGAAGTCACAGACCCTTGGTGGCCCAACCGACAAAAAACCTAGACTCATTTCATTCTACCCCAAATTGACCGCCTGACAAAAGAGAGAAAACAATGGATGAGAGCTTCTATTGTTAGAGAAGAGAATTTTCGACGCCTCTAGAGGCTAATATTCAATATAAGAGGAACGAGAACTTTGTTTTAGGTGTGATGAAAAATTCGACCAAATCACCATTGTTAGAGCAAGTCTTTGCAATCACTTGCTGGGATATGACTCTGAGAAAAGTGAACACACTCGGACACGAGAGGAAACACACTCAAGAGGTAACCCTTTAACATTTTCAATGAATTTTATAGTTGGACTTACCTCTGTAAAACGCAAAATTATGGGGCGAATTGGGAAAATGGATGGGGTGATCCTGGTTGACAGTGGGGCTTCCCAAACTTTATCTCACATGAATTAGTGAAGGGTTGGAAATCCGGGTGGAAAAAGGGAAGTGTTTGGGTTATGGTGGGTAATGGGGTGACGGTGAAGGGTGAAGGAGTTTGTAAAAGAGTGCAGTTAGAAGTGTCGAGGGTTCACTTGTCAAGATTTTTTCCCATTTGCTTTAGGGGTGCTGTGTTGTGTTGGCAGTTACGTGTTGAGTACTTACGATGTATGTGCCAATTGGAAAAATTTGACAATGCAGTTTGAATGGATGGGGCTAAAGTAAGATGCGGGGGACCCTCTTTGGTGAAATCATAGTATCTCTTAAGCCATGTACTGTCCTTAGCAACACAAGGGAAGGGTTCTTGGTAATGTTGTTCGATGGAAGAAAAATAGAACAGAAGGTGAGGAGGAAGACCTTAGGTGACCCAAGTACTAGCCAAATACACCCACATGTTTGATCAACCTTCAAACTACCCCCAAAGATCTCACGACCATGCATATCCTTAAGAGGGAGCCCAACATTAGACTTACATATAGCCACTTAGACTTACATTACCTTACTTCCAAAAAAAATGAGATAGAAATGTTGGTAAAAGAGATGATGGTGGCGGGATCATACAACCAAGTACTGCCCCTTTGCCACAGTATTACTAGTCAGAAGAAAGCGGGAGTTGGAGGTTCGATGTAAACTAAGGCCTCAAAGAATAACCATCCGGACAATTCCCCATTCCCACATCAAGAGTTGTTAGATGAATTAGGCGAGCAACATTTTCTCTAAATTGGACCTTAGGTCAGGGTACCACCAAATAAGAGTTAAAGGGAGGACGTCCCAAAAATGGCATTCAAACTCATGAGGGCATTGTGAATTCCTTGTAATGCCTTTCGGTTTGACAAATACCCCTCCACCTTTTAGGCATTTATGAATACGATCTTTAAACCTGTCTCTCCGAAAATTCATGTTGGTTTTCTTCGCGACATCCTCATATATGGCCCACATTGGAGTCCCATTTAGCACACCTCGACAAGCCTCACAGATTTTGGAGAGACGAGTTGGTAGTGAATAAAAGAAATGTTTATTCGGGCAGGAGAAATTAGAATATTTGGCCATGTGATCTCGGCAAAAGAGGTAAAGCCGACCCAAAATAAGCCTGTTTCTTGGCCCACTCCAACAAATGTGAAGAGTTTAATAGATTCTTGGTCTCAAGGGTACTACCGAAGTTCATAAAAGGTTACGAAAGCATCGCACAACCACTCAGCATGTTATCAAAAAGGATTCCTTTACTTGGAACCATGAGGCACACACAGCCTTTGAACAACTCAAGGAATCCATGACTTTTGTCCCGATCCTAGCAGCCCTAAATTTCAGCTCCCATTTGAGTTTCAGACTGATGCATCAAGCCACGTTATTGGTGCGGCTTTAGTCCACAATCACGCCCCATAGCTTACTTGAGTAAGGCTTTTTCCCCCAAGCCAAACAGAAATAGTGTATGAAAAGAGGTTAATGGTCGTTGTCTTTGCAGTACACAAAGGATCCATATTGTTAGGTAGGAGTTCATCATCAAAACTAACCAAAGATTTTAAGTTCCTCCAAGATCATGGGTTAAAACTCCGGAGCAACAAAAATGGTTGTCCAAGCTGATGGGTTTTCCCTTTGATATTCAATATTTGCCGGGCGCCACCAACAAGGGGGCTGACCACTGTCCAAAAGTGAGAAAGCTCCACCATTAATTCAATTTCAGTAATTCAGTTTGATGAGTATGAAGATTTGGCAAATGAAGCCCAATGTGACCCTAAGCTCCAACATTATTCAGACCTTCTTGTGGACTCCACAGCCCACCATTACTCACTACGCCTGGTTCTTTACTTTACAAAGGGAGATGGTTTCCCCAAGGGATCTAGGTTTATTAGTAAGTTGCTGGCTTTTTCATTCCATCAGGGAGGGGTCATTCGGTTTTTTTTCGGACTTACAAATGGCAAATGTGGCCTATTAGGAAGGAATCAAGCATGATGTTTCAGAATTTTATTAAAACTTGCACAACCTGCCAAGTCAACAAACATTCTGCCTTTAAGCCCACAGGCTCTGCAACCTTTACCTATTCCATCTCAAGTGTTCGATGATTCAATGATGGACTTCATTGGTGTCTTCCGAGAGCAAAAGGGTTTGATACTATCCTGGTGGTGGTTGATCGATTAACCAAGTATAGTCATTTTCTCCTCTTGTCCCACCTTTATAATGCTAAGGAGGTGGCCCTAATTTTTATGAAGGAGATTGTGAAACTCCATGGGTTCCCAAAGTCCATCATCTCAGATCGAGATAGACTCTTTATGAGTCAATTTTGGCAAGAAATCTTCAAGGTTTCAGGGACAACTTTGAAGTTCATTTCTGCTTACCATCCACAAATGGACACCAATCGAAGTGGTGAACAGATGCTTGGAGGCATATTGAGATTTTTTGCAGTTCTCAACCCCGTCACTGGCCGAATTGGCTCTCTTGGGCTGGGTTTGGGTAAATACAACTTACACGATCAACCAAATGATGCCATTCAAGGCACTAATGGTCGTGACCCACTTACCCTCCTTAAGCTCACCGATGTCCTCCCTGGGGGAGGACGGAACCACCAAATTCAGAGTGCAATGCCATCCTCCAAGAACTCAAGCACACCTAGAAAGTGCTCAAGTCCACATGAAAGTGCAAGCAGACCACCACGTAGAGATTCAACTTTGTTCCAGTGACCAGGTTTACCTTAGGCTTCCCCACAAATTCAGGTCCTGGCAAAAAAATTTGAATGAGAAACTTAGCCCAAGGTTCATGTTCCTTTCCCATGCTAGAGAAGGTCGGTCAAATGGCCTATAAGCTGAACTTCCGCTTGTAGCCCGCATTCATCCCGTATGCCATGTGTCCCAGCTTAATCGCAGTCTTCACAAATTAGTCCCCATTTAGCCCCTACCCCCTTTTCTCACAGAAGACTTGGAACTCCAGGTTCAACCAGCTTAAGTCTTAGCCATGCAGACCCTTCTTGATGGCTCCAAAGAGGTGCTCATACATTGGCAAGATCTCCCTACCTTTGAAGCGACTTGGGAACCCTTTGAAGTCATCAACACTCAATTTCTTCACTTTTCCACCTTGAGGACAAGGTCACTTTTCGGGGGTGGGGGGTGTGTGTTGTGGTATGGGCAAGGGTGTAAAGAGTGTGAAAGTTAAGGTAGGCAGTTAGAGGAATTGTCTAACTGAGATGAAATGTATATAACTAAAAGAATGTGAGAGAGTGGGGGCAATTGAGAAAATTCTAGAAATTGGTTGGCAGGTCCGTAGCTCCTCGAAGTGCTAGGATCCATATTCTATCGCCTTATTTCGTCTCTGTTTACTGCTATTCCATTGTTATTCTGAATACATATATGAAATATACCATGTGGGTTCCATTAAATCATGTCTTATCTCTATATTGTGCACTGTTCCCGTGTGTGATTACGTGGAGTCTGATTTAATAGAAAGGGGTTTCCATCACTTATCCAATAGTTTTCCATTCCCAGTATATAAGCATAATTTACCAAATGGTATCATCACATGTATCACATATTACATCAAACCATGCCTGCATCGAATCTGAAAATTGGGACAAGAACTGGCATGAATTACTGCAACTTAGAACCTATATGTCCACTGTAACCTTGCCATCAAGCTGAGTAAATTCTTGGAAGAACGCCTTGAAATGCTCATACGAATGTTTCACGTCATCAATGGCACACATTTCTCGTATACTGTGCATTGATAATTGTGGTGCACCTACATCAACTGTACGAATCCCCACTCCACTTGCTAAGATGGGACCGATGGTTGAACCACAAGCCATGTCATTGCGGACCACAAACTCCTGCACGCGTGCAAAATTCCGGAGATAATCAGTTTATCTACCTAACAAAAAATCTTACACTGCAACTTCCAGCTTCCATTTCAATAAAAAAGTGTTCTAGTTCTTTTAAGTTATACATCATTTCCCCCCAATTCTCTCATTCCTTGTATGATGTGTAGAAACAGGAACAAAATCCAACAAGAGAGAGCTTCTAGGTCAATGGTGATGACATGCTAGATTTCAAAATAATAATTGCACAGAAAGCATAATCCAATGTTTATTATAAGTTTATCACAATTCCTGGTAGGACAAATTTTAGGACTCCAACATGTAAAATGAAGTTCCAGTCTCCCATTTTGAAGAGAGCTCTAAAAGCTAACAATTTATTCCTTCTCTCTTTAAATTCTTATCATTTAAACTCAAGATTTATATGACGATTCCAAGACATCATGCTATAACTTGAGCCTACAGCCTACATAACGATGTTTCCATTTTATCAGAAACCATATACCTTAAAATTCAAAACTTGTAGACAACCAAAAGTTATTAAAAAGCGAAAACAAACCTGAGTAGGAACATTATGCTTCAAGGCTATCTCCTTGAATATGAAGGAAGTAACAGCATTAGTTGCATATCGTTGATTTGCGTTGTGCTTGATGACGAGCCCACCATGCAACTTGGGCTGATGATTATCCTCATGTTTTTCCTAAAAATAATCGCACATTATCACTATGCAATCAGAGAAAGCACAACAAATTCTAAATACAACCAACAACATACCATGTAATTAGGGTGTAGGGCATGCGCCATGTCAGCAGAAACAAGAAAACTCCTCTGGATTGCTTTCTGAATAAGCTGAAAAAAAAATGTGCTGAAAACAATGAGGTTCTAGATCAAAGAAACATCACAGCATGAAAGCATAAAATGTGGAGGATGAGTATGCCTATTAATTAAAGCTTGGACTAGAAACCAGAAGTCGGAGAAAAGGGTGAAAACTCTTTTAATTCAACCTCAGTTGTGTTTCTTGATCCCAATATCACAAATGCAGGATCCAAATGACACCATAACAGCTAAGAATGAATGTTATGATTTGCTGAATCAATTATGGATCCATATACAGAAATTAGACATAAAATCGGATAACCAGCTTTAAATTGGTGTAAATTTCAACCAAAAAAAAAATGCAGCATCCAATGGCAAGTCAGTAACCACCTTCTGAAGCATCATGATAATTAGTATTTCAGCAAAACCCAGACCAAGAAAATGGGCATACCACATTAGTATTTGAACAGAAGATATTTGTGATTCGTGCCAAAGCATCTAACATGACAGGAGACCCAGCTCCTTGAGCTGAGGATGATCCAACCTCCTCATGGTCAAACAATGCCACCATTCTAACCCCAGTCTCGTCCTCAAGGTTGCTTTCAGAAGATGTAGTATCTATCAACGCCTGAATTTGAATTTATGAACAAATGAGAAACAGCTGGAGTATAATATGAAATGAACAATCAAAAAGAAATTAACAATTTAAGAAAATGATAATGCCAGATTATAAATTACAGGTATAACACAAAACTTTGCAATTTTGTCCATATATTAGTAACCTTCCAAGCTGGATTCAAACTTATGATACCAGAACTTAACATCAAAGAATTTGAGAAAATCACCAAGGCTTACATGTCTGACAATAGCCAAACCAGGTTCAAATGAGAAATGCTACTCCAGAAAATCACTTGAATTAAATTCAAGTATGCCAGATCACTATAGAGAATTCAAAACAAGAAAAATCCAAACAATTTCAAGCAATTTATATCTCATAAATCAACAATGAAAAACCAGATGGAATAAATTGTTCAGGATTAAAATTGCGGCAGCCCAAGGATTTGCTAATGTAATATGAAAATAGGGCACTACATTATGTAAAATATGGCATAAAATAGAAACTCAGCCATAAAACTCTCGCTTGCATCTTGACACAGGAAGACACAGACAACAAAACAGCTCATACCTTAAGAGAGCAAAATGACATGCAGAGATTGTCGAGCCTTCCTGAGAAAATGAATTCCTTCTTAATACCAGCTAATATACTTGGTTGAGTATCACATGCTTGCAGTTCAAAATCACATATATCATCTGCTGCACAGCCAAGCTGACTTGCGATCATCTGATGAACAAAGGAGAAAAATACTGAAATCACCATTAATGTAAAAATTCTAAAGCCAAATCCACTTACAGAGTAACAATACTTAAATCATCAGATTAACTCATTCATCTGCCACTAAAAAAAATGATGAAAAAAATCAGTTTCAAAATCATTAACCTGTAGTAGAACTGAGTGATGCTTGGAGCTGTTACTGGTTGGTTTTTCTTTAGAGTTATCTGTGGCCACTTTATTAAGCTCCTCCTGTGAAAAAGTAGATTGTTGATTTAAAAAAAAAAAAAAAAAAAAAGAGAGAGAGAGAGAGAGAGAGAGAAAGAGATAAAGAAAAGAAAAGAAAGGAAAGGAAAAAGTTAATACTGAAAGACTTCAACATTTTTAGCTAAATCACAACCATGGGAACTTCAATTATCCCTATTATCAACAATTAAGTAGCAATAACTCCAATAGTAGATAACAGGAACAGAACTAATACCCACCAAATAAAGAAAACTGACTATGTATATATATATATATATATATATATACAAAAAGATCAATTTTAAATTAAAGCATACAAATTACAAAATTACATAGAAGTTCTTTACGATATTACTCCCTGAAGTTTCTGAGGATTTTGTACCCAGATCATTATCTTTTAAATTAAAGCATATATATATATATGGTCATTTCATGTATAAATAAGCAAAAAGATCAATTTTAAATTAAAGCATACAAATTACAAAATTACATAGAAGTTCTTTACGACATTACTCCCTGAAGTTTCTGAGGATTTTGTACCCAGATCATTATCTTTTAAGTTACAGCTTCTCATCTATTAATCAAGAATGATCATAATTTGTGCAGAAATTCCAAGAATGGCATATTATAGGATATATGCAGTTAAAATCTCAGAATCCCCCCTATTCAAGGTCTTCCATCATTTTAATTATTTTGCAGATATAACTCTGTGTGAGTAAAGAAGCAACTAAAGGTCTTGAGTTCAACAAAATATGCGTAATTATTTTATACTTGTTTTACATCTAAAGACAAAATGAGATGTATTCTTGCACATGATGACTTAAGATCAGTTTATTCCAGCTTCTAATAAATAACAACTGCCTCATAACGGCCTTAAACCATGAATTGAACCTAGCTAACCGTAAATCAAATTTTAAATTGCAATTGGAAACTAGCTAGATAGAATCGTATTCCTCAAATCATAATAATAAACAGAGAATATACACTATAACACATAACAAATGAGGCACATGAAATAAATAGTATGCACTGAACAATTACGCTGTAAAAAGATTACCTTTATTGCTGTTGCCAAGACAGGGAGAAGATGACTCTGAGTGTTCTGCTTAAATCCATCACTATTGACATTCCTGTTTACAAAATATTGAACTATTTAGGTTTCTGTTGAGCAAGTCCATTTGAAGGCATGAAATAACAGAAACCCATGTATAAATAAGCTATATCAAAACTACCAACAGATTGGTCAACCACAAAATAAGCCACTCAATAACAAAAAGTTTCATCTAGTAAAAGAACCTGTCCAAGTGTATTGCCAGCGTAGGAATTCGCATTATGGGCTCATAGATTCTAAGTAGTTTATGAGAATAAGAAACAGAACCATCTTTTTCTTCTCTAATTATCACTCGTCCTGCAACTGTCAAGTCACGATCAAACCATGTATGCCACAAACCACCTCCATATGTTTGGACACCAACCTCCAAATACCCGCCTTTCGATACCTGGCCAATCCACGCACTTTCAAAAACTAAGTCAATATTTTTCCAAGATAGCTCACATTTCAGATATATATCGAGTGTTTAATACTTAGAAAAAATTAAAAAATTAAAAAAAATCAAAGGTATACGAAAAAATCACCTTAGAAACAGGTTTCAGCTTTAGACAAGGACTGTCGGTATGAGCACCCACTATATGGAATCCATTTCCAGCAACATATCTAAGCATAGATCTCTCCACATCAGAAACTTGAAAGAATTAAATCAAATGTAACGCCAAAATTTCTTCTTTTTTATTTTCTTGTTCTACATCACCGTTTCGAAAGAATAAACTACTTACTTCACTTAAATGTATCCAAAACTTTCTTCGAGAAAAAGAAAACCGATACAGAGATACAAAAACAAGAGTAAAAAACTAAGAATGAAAAGATATTTCATTACTTTTTTCCGATTGCGAAAGCGACGATTGTGGAATAATTTCTGGTAAAGAAATATCTCTTTCCAGCTTCCAAGTTCCAATCTTCCTTCTCTGAAATCTGCTCGTACCCCACTTCTCGCAAACGCCTCTTTGCCTCATCTGAAATATAAATACATTATATAAAATCGAATATCGGTTTGTCTTTGTCGGGAACAAAACGGAAAAAAGATGGAAGAACAAAAATTACCAACGGCGTGAAAAGCAGTCGGAGATGCGTTTAAGAATTGGAGAAAGTCGGAGACTACGGAGCTCAATTCTTCACCGTTAGCTTCTGTCTGTGCCATCGCCTCTGATTGATTGACTCTTTCGCTTACTTCGGAGAGTCGTCGTACTTGTCGATCTTTATTATATACGGAGAGTATTAACTGTATAAGCATCCGATTCTGCGTCAAGCTTAAGGAATAAGGAGATGAATAATGTTTTGCTCAGCATTAGGAATCTAGGATTGGGCTTGGCCCATAAGTCATGACCCATTAATATTCCATTTAACGACGGAAGTCTGCCGGAATTTGATCCATTTTACTGCTTTTTATTTTATTTTATAATTCTAATAAATATTGTATCGATAATAATATCATATAAGAAAATTAGAAATTATTATAAAATATAAAAATGTTCATCTTTACTAATGATAATTGGAAGACCGTGTTTGTACAGAAGAAATTTCTTTAAATTTACTTGTCATCTTCATTTCTCCTAGAAATGCTTAATTGAAACATTTCTTATACAAACATTAAGGATCATGAAACGACTTGTTTAAATGTATGATAAAGAGATTTTCCGGGAGGATTTAAGGGGTAATTTAGGTATTCCAGCCAATATTCAGTTATGCGCGTTCCCGCCATTTTCCCAGAAAATGGAATGACTTTGATAACGGCCGTTTCTATGGATAAATTGTGTGAATTAAAAACCCTTTATTTTTCATCGATAATTTCCAATCCAAGAAGCCTCTGGTTTTGAGACTTTTGAACTCAAACACCCATTAAGAGATTTGTTACAGTCAGTGGCTAATGAGAAATTAAAAGCAAAGGTAAGCTTTAATGGTGGAGCAAGGAGCATGAAAAACTCATTCATCATATTGACCCCATCACCATTCATGATCTTTCACACTCGTACCTTATCGCTCCCTTGTTACTCAATCCGGATAATCTTCCATGCTTCTTTTCTTGTGGTTATTTCCATTATTCTTGGGAAGATTATATCTGAAGTTCGTTGTTGAATTTTTCCGAACGTACGTTCATTCTTTTGCTTCTGTTTCCTTGGGTTTTGTCCTTGAGCTTCTGAAATTTTCTTTTTCGATTTGGGTTCATCATACTCATTCTCTACTAAATCCTATAAATCAAGTGAGATAAAAGAAAGTTTGAACTTTTACACATACCACAAGTCGTACTTTTCTCCATCAAAGATTGGAACGGAGGACTGTGAGATGAAAGGGCTTCAGTAACTTGAGCTAGTCATTTGATTATCAAGTGACATAGAGAGAGATTGCTTTCTTGAAACTTTCCTCTCTACTTTGTTTCCGGTTCGTCTCTTTTATAAACGAAGGAAAGGACTCACCTTTTATACAAAACATAAAAACATAATACACCACTATACCAACATCAATTTAACTCAAGTTTACACATGACCCTAACCTGATTCAAGTTTACAAATACGATTACATGACTGAGTACCAACTGCAATAGCTAATACAACACATTGACAATAACATATATAGGAGCACATCAGATGATTTACTAGCTAATATATGTTACATTGACACAGGATTTTACGTATGGGCAATTTAAATTTAAACAAACTATAGCTTTGAGCCTGAATTTCTTTGCCAAGACGAGTTTTACAACTTTTATTTTGCTACATTTATGGTTTAAGTGATAAAATTTATTTGGTAACCTAAGAAGAGATCCACTGAGATACTTATACTATAATTGAGTTACCATTTCCTATAAGTTTTCCTTAGCAGCGTGAATTTTAGAACTCTTGTATATAAAATGAAGCTCCTGGTTTTGAAGAGAACTCTAAGCTAACAATTTATTCCTACTTTGTCACCTGAGCTAAAGGCCAAGATTCCAAAATTAAAAAATCTACACACCCCAACATAATGATGTTCCCATTTTATCAGAATTAATTATATATCCTTAAATTTTAAAACTTGTCAACAACCAAAAAAATTCTTAAAAAGCGAAAACAAACCTAGGTAGGAAGGCTATGCTTCAAGGCTATCTCCTTCAATATGAAGGCTGTAAACATTAGTGGCATAGTTTTGAATTGCGTTCTGCTTGATGACGAGCCCACCATGAAACTTTGGCTGATGATTATCTTCATGTTTGTCATATTACCACAATGGAATCAAAGAAATTATCCGCATAACAAATCTTGAATATATAGAACCACATACTATATAATTTGGGTGTAGAGCATGTGCCATGTCAGCAGAAACAAGAACTCCTCTGGATTGCTTCCTCAATAAGCTGGGGAAAAGAAAAAAATTGCGTTGTAAGTGGTGGACTGGCTAATGTTATAATAAGATAAATCAAGCTCCAGGTGTCACAATCTCAATGGATAGGTAACATTTCTATTAACCTTAGAAAGATAGTTCCTTTGGGAGACATGCATCATCACCTTAGACGTGCACATATATACCAACTTGCAAAGAGCTAAAACAGATGGCAATAGGATATTTGTGGTCTTGCCCTAATGTGCCAAAAGAATACTCATGTATCTATCTTCACGATTAGATCAAATGGGTGATAGCAAAACCTTAGCACTATATAAAAGAGTATGTTTTGTTATTTAAGGTAACTTCGTTCAAGTTCTCTTATTTCAATCTAAAACAATTCTAGCTTTAATCATCTTTTTCTCCATTTTTCACCATTATTGTAGTTTCAAGGACTTTGTCTATTGAACTTTCCATTGACTTAAGCGGCAAAGAGCGCATGTCAGCGACCACCTCCGTCGGCTTAAGCTTCTAATCTCTCTTCTCGTTAATTTTTGAGAGGTTTCAACCGTTTCAGAAGAGATTTCTAGCTACTTCAAAGAAGACTTCCACCACAACACCACTACATAACCGCCACTAATCACCATGTTACTATACTATCTCACAGCAGTCTGTACTCATAAACGCCATGAGCCATTTTTAGGCGTTAACATGAATAATTATTACTCTCTTTAAGAAAGCAACTTTGTGTTGATTAATATGGCTCAAACACTAAATATTGGAAAATATTTTTTTTTTCTTATATCCCAATTGTTTAGCAAACTAAGAAGTCAAGTCTTGGTTGGCTATATGAAGGAGTGAGATTTTCCTAATTAACAAAAGGTCAAGGCTTCTGTTAGCTATATATAGAGGTATTAATCTTTAGTTTGAGTGTCCCACAAATAGGTAAACATTTACATGTTTGTTTGGAGTGAATGTTTTAAATTGTTAAGTGAGAGTTTCCTAACAATTGTAATCCTCCTAATTAGTGAATTGGTCATCATGATCCGAGGATGTAAGTACACTTGCCGAACCTCGTAAAATTGTGTATTCTCTTTAGTTTAAATTCTGCTCAGTTTTATTTTTTTACATATCTTTTATTGGCGCTTCCGTTATAGAAGTAGTATTTTTAGTTTTGGGCACAACCCTTTGCCTCAGAGTTTTAGCCATTTTACTACATTAATTTGTTCTGAAAAAATAAGATAATATCATGATTATAAAAATACACAACCATCCATCTTTTGTCAATGGAATGATATAGGAATAACATATATATTCATATTAATTTGTGCAGTGACATTTCTCTAATTTTAGTATTCGTCTTCATTCATCTATTTTTATACCCGTACTGTAATTTGGGATCATACAATTTTTCATTAGAAATGCTTAATAAAAACATTTCTTTTACAAACTCCCCCATGCCCGCTCTGTATTATGTGAGGACTGAGGATCAAGGAAGGGAGCCATTTGAAACGACCCGTTTTAAATGTAGAATAAATAAATTTTCTTGAAGGAAATTGAGGGGTGATTTGGGTATTTCAACAATATTTCAGTTAAGCGATCACCCGCCCTTTTCCCCGAAAATGGAATGACTTCTATAACGGCCGTTTCTATTGATACATCATGTGAACTAAATACCCTTTATTTTTCCCCAACAATTTCCCTCCAAGAAACTTCTGATTTGAGAGTTTTGACCTAAAATTCCCATTAAGAGATTTGTTACAGTGGGTAATGAGAAATTGAAGCAAAGCTAAGCTTTAATGGCGAGAGCAAGGAGCATGAAGAACTCATTCATCACATTGACCCCATCACCATTCATGATCTTTCACCTTTTCTCAATCTCTCAATTCACTTCTCTCCTCTTTTCTCCCAAGAAAAGCCCAAGAAACCACCAGAAATTCTTTACCCCACAAACCTTGACGCTCTTCTTTCTCTCACTCTTGGTTACTTTCAGTTTCTTGGGTATTTTCATTCTTAACATGATACAGACCTATCAAGATAATCCAGTAACTTGCTCTCTCATCTCTACCTCTGCACCATTTTCGCTCTGTGCACACTCCGCCATGCTCTTAGCTTCACTTTCTTCGACTAATTCCAACATTGAGGATGATAAGCCAAGATTGGCTGGCAGTGTGATGATGCTATTACCGACTCATATTGTGGCCGGCGATTTGACTAAGGAGGAGAGGGAATTCTGGGAGCAACCGGACGGCGAAGGGTACAAGCCTTGCTTGGATTTCAGTATTGGATATAGACGAAAGTCTGCCAAGATTTCCAAGGAGAAGAAGAGGTTCTTGGTGGTGGTGGCTTCAGGAGGATTGAACCAGCAGAGGAATCAGATTGTTGATGCTGTTGTGATGGCGAGGATTCTCGAAGCAGCCTTGGTTGTGCCAGTCTTGCAGGTTAATGCCATTTGGGAAGATGAAAGGTAGAGAGAACATTCGTTGAATTTGTTCAAACTCAATGTCAGTTTTTAATTTTCTGGGAAAAAAGAAAATTATATTGTAAAGTGAAAATTAGCTCAAACGATCAAGAAAGAATTATATTTCAGGGTTTTATATGCTTTCTTGAATTCTTAGGACTTGAAAATGAAAAATGTTGATTCTCATAAATTTTCATTTTTAGATACTTGTGTTTAGTTCTATGAATAATTAATTAAATCATTTTTTTTTTTCATGATAACTGCAGTGAATTTTCAGATATTTTTGATTTTAAACACTTCAAGAGGACTTTGCAAGCTGATGTACGAGTTGTGTCATCTCTTCCCTCCACACACTTGATGTCGAGACAGTCCATTGAAAACCAGCTCCCTTACAATATTTCTCCACTTTGGATCCGTGCCAGATTCTTCAAACAAGTATGGGAGGAAATATTGTTTTCTAATGTCTTTTTTCTGTTACTAAATGCCCTTTTTGCGTTTCTATCTTGAAACGATACTTCTGTGTTAAACTATAAATTATTGAAATGGTAGCAGTATTAAATTTCCTATGAAGTTACAATTCAAACACGTTGCCATACTTACTTTGACTTTGGTGGTTCATGCAGCTGAATGAAGTAGGTGTTCTTGTACTAAAAGGGTTAGATTCTAAGCTGTCCAAGAATCTTCCACCTGATCTGCAGAAGCTTCGGTGTAAGGTACACTCGGAAGTTAATTAGCAGACATGAAATTAGATTTAGAAAGTAATCTTTTCATTACCCCTTTGTATTGCAGGTGGCCTTCCATGCATTAAGATTTGCAGCCCCGATTCAGGAACTTGGGAATCGGCTTGCGAGGAGAATGTGGATTGAAGGTCCGTACATCGCCCTCCATCTCCGACTGGAGAAGGATGTATGGGTCAGAACCGGGTGTCTCACTGGTTTAGGCTCAGAATATGATGAAACTATTGCCAAAATTAGGCAATATCAGCCTGAATACCTCACAGCTAAACTGAACATGACCCACGTTCAGCGAAGACTTGCTGGACTGTGTCCCCTTAATGCATTAGAGATAGCAAGGTAAAAACAGAACACTGGGGCTAATTTTTTAGTTTACCGTCATTGGGCTATGATATAAGGCACTTGAACATAATATTGGTACAGGTTTTTGAAGGCTTTGGGGGTGCCGGGCTGTGCACGAGTATACATAGCTGGAGGAGAGCCATTTGGTGGTCCAAGGGCACTGCAGCCACTTGCTGCAGAATTTCCAAACTTAGTGAGAAAGGAGAGGTTGGCACAAGAAGCTGAACTTTCACCATATCTCAACAGGTCCTCTGCTCTTGCTGCAGTTGACTACATTGTCTCACTAAACAGTAATGTCTTTGTGCCTTCCCATGGTGGAAATATGGGTCGTGCCTTGCAGGTAAGTAAAACTTTAAGTTGCAAATGCTAGTGATTTTTCATGTACAACTCCCAACTGTTTTCAGGTCCAGTCACTCCACTTATTACTGTTTATAGCTATTGAATAAAGACACAGCAGTATGTAATACAAGTTGTTCCCGATACTACAGTATTGCTGCAAATTGTTTTGGTACATTATACTTCTGGAGTGCAAACAATACGTGTTTATCATCAAATCTCACCTCCTTCAAAGTTGATTTCCATGCGCATAACCATGCAATGTGGTTCTTACTTCTTAGCCTGCTTTTTAACTCTTTAACTTGACAGGGTCACCGTGCCTATGTGGGTCATAGGAAGCACATAAAGCCGAACAAGCGAGCCATGATTCAATTCTTTGAAGACTCCTCAATTTCTGATGCAGAATTTGGAATCATAATCAGAAAGCTGCACAATAGAGCTCAGGGGCAGCCGGAACCCAGGACTAACAAGAGAGACCGAGATGTGACTGCTTATCCTGTGCCTGAGTGCATGTGTAAACATAGAACTGGCATTTATTAAGAAAAATCACTGTCTGTACTCAGTTTGTATGCCATCTGTAACTGACTTGTAAATTTTTCTTGTATTCAAATCTTGTAGAGCATTTTGTTCATGCTATAATTTTCTGTTTGCCAATGACAGTCCAATCTCCAACCCAAAGTGTAGTGTTGCTTAGATGAAGAGGATAAACTGTTCATGCCCGAGCCAATTTATCAGTCTTTCTTTTGTGGAGCTGAAGCAATTTGTCCGCTCCAGCTTTGGGGCCAAAAGAGAAATGCTTCTCCAAATATATCAGAATTCCTGGTAGCAGATTTCTCAATCCATGATCACATCACATGAGATGACAGAGAGCCATATATTCGCAGTAGCAAGCTAAGAAGATTTTTGCTTGAATAAACACTGCCACTTGGTCTGATGACAAAAATGATGTTGGAACTTATGATAGCATATTTAAATTACTCAGGAATAATAAGAAAAAATAAATCCCTGTTCAATTGACTCCAAACGGTTTCCCTAGAAGAGGTTGATTTGCTTGCTCATGCCTTCATGATTTCTTGACATAGAAGTATTTTTATTTTAACCATTACAAACAATCCTGACTAAACCATTTACGTGAGTCGTATGTTTTACTAACTTCTTAATGCGGAAAACTTACTTTAAATTCCACAATTTGGCTACTACGTATGCAACAGCTTACGGAGCATAGTTCTACTATGTTCTTGTGCTTGTAACGTTGCCAATAACAGATCTTCTGGAGACAAGTCAACAGATTAATCTTGCTACCAGAATTCATCTCTTTGAGGAAAGCATGGAACCATTTAGCTGAGTCTTTCGGGATACGAGTGAGATTGTTCTTGTAATCAATGTAATAAAGCCCGAATCTAGCAAAGAAGCCCTCCTGCCACTCAGGATCATCAAATGGAGCCCAATAGAAGTAGCCTTTCACGATCACTCCTTCCCTGCAGCATGATTAGTGACAAGATATCCCTATAAACTAATCTTGCATAGCTAGTTTTATGAAACATAAACTGTTTGTTTAGATTAACTTCACAAGTACTTTTGACATCGATAAAAAAAAAAAAAAATAGAAGTAAATTTGAGTTACAGAAACAAGTTTATTACTTTTAGAATCAATGTTTTCATATGTTCTTATTTTGATCATTTTCTCCTCTCTAGTTTCTACAACCAATTCAGAAATCATACTACCTTAGTCTAAAAAATTTTATTAGAATACATATTATCCCTCATGACTTACTCAATTGCCTTATGGATCCAATACAAATGATGAACAACAAAGTCAATTCGATGTGGATCCTTAAGAGCAACATCAAGCATACGGCTATCATCCCTGTCCTCGATCAGTAACCCCTATACATTAAAGCAATGCAATGATTAACAAATTTTAATGCCATAAAATGACTTCAAAATCATTGAAAGAAACAACAGCAACAAGATTTCCAATTACCATTCTCAGTAATGTATATTTTAGGGTTTTGGTAATGTTTCTTTATAAATATCAAAACTTTTTGCAATCCTTCAGGACAAAAGAAAATGAAGAAGCTCCCTTGGGCCTAAAAATGAAATAAGAGCAAACAAGCTTATAGCATAAGAGTCTTCAAATAAGATGGAAAAATTTAAGGAGGATAATTGAGATCACATATGCACCTTTGGACCAATAGGAACTCCATATTTCTCCACTGCCACAATCACAATAAACAGCAAACTATACGTTAAACAGCTGCAGCATTCAGTTTATTTCTTCATTCTTTCTGATTTATTTTAGTGAGATATGATAACTTAAGCTTAACAGTTAACTTTAGGAATTGATCCTCATTAAAGCTGACTCCTGGGGCATGTAAATCTATGGGAATATTCTTGATATACCTTGCGGTTTAATAATTTATACCGATGAAATCAAACAATCCCTTCACCAACTTCTTCTCTTCAGCAGTGAGAACGGGTAGCCTCTGCCTTGCTAATTGTTTCATACTTTCCGGATAATCTCCATGCACAAGTGGTTCCATAAACCTAATAAACAAATCAACATTATATTAATAATCCCAGCCCAGAGAATGAAATTAGAAAAAGGATGACAAAATCAATATATTGACCACCCCAATTCGAAGTCAGGTGCTCTTTTAGCTGCAGCTTTGTCCTCAAATGAATTGGAATAAGGCACATAATTGTGTGCCTCAAGGCAGAGTCCAATTTGTCCCCCTTGGTTTGGCTGGAACTTGTCTCTATAGAGCCTAACAGCTGTGGCATGGGCAAGTAGAAGGTTGTGGCCGGCAATATAAGGTTCAGTGGATCAATTACCTTCCAGACAAAATCCTCTATCTGAGCACCTGCCTGATGGAATCCATCCCAAGTCATAACCAAACTTTGAGAAAATTACTGGCTCGTTTACTGTGATCCAATTTTTAATTCTATCTCCAAATGTCTTAAAACAGATTTCAGCATAGTCAATGAAATCATCTCTGCAAGATAAAACAAAGTTACATTCAGTTCATATGTGTATTCACCATAATCTATAAACATAGATACTTACACAAATGAAGGATTTAAAGGGCCACCATATTTATCTTCTAGGGCTTGTGGGGGGTCAAAGTGAAAGATTGTGACAGACGGAATGATGCCTGCATTAATAGATTAAAATAGAAAAAATTATAAATATATATTTACAAGTAATTAAGATTATACTGGATTAGGGTTGTCTTACCGTTTTTAAGTAATTCATCAATGAGGTTGTTGTAGTGATTGATGCCCTCTTGGTTCACTCCTTCACTCAATGATCCATCTACACAACAAATATTTGTTTTTTTTTTTTTTTTTCTATATACTGAATTAAGTAACATAAATAAACTAACTGGGTAGAATCCTTGCCCAGGAAAGGGAAAATCTGTGAGAATCTATTCCAAGGTCCTTCAAAGCCTTTACATCTTCCTAAAAATTGAAAGCAGCATCGATATATTAGACAATTATTATGTCATGGTTATATAATTTAAATACGCAACTTAATGGTTGAGAAATGTTGGTGGATAAATTACCTTATTGCGCCTGTATGAATCAATGGCTATGTCCAGGTTACTACCATCATTAATCTTTTCTGAAAATGAAAATTAAATACTATTAATCATGAACTACATACATACTTATAATAGCTGCATTAATGTTTATAAGGTCTATTATGAATATGAATACGAATACGATATATTAACAATTTAGAAATTGATTCCAGTGAGTGAACCTGTTTATTTCTGAAGGTAGTAATCCCAAATGTTTGTTCCTTTTCCTCCATATTTCGCTGATCCTTCAATCTGCAGCAATAAAAGCCTATATTATAAACTTGATGACTCCGGTCTATAACACCATGTCTTTATATACTATATAAACATTCACGTACCTGTGCAGCAGCAGTTGAAGCTCCAAATATGAAATTGTTTGTGAAGTCGGACCTCCCGATATGCAATTGGTTGGGGGTCATGCAAGTGCTTACCACTTTCAACTTTGATGATGCTCTGAGCTCTTTGTGACAAAATACTGGAACAAGTTAATAAAAATGCCCAATTTTATTAATAAAAATGCCCAATTTTACAAAAAAAAAAAAAAAAAAAGAGTAATTACAGAGGGCAAAGAAAATACTACCATGCACACAAAAACAGGCAAACAAAGCATAAGCAGCAAAGATCCCAACTACAACCAACTGTGAACTTCTACAAGATACTAAAGATGGTAGAAACTCCATGCTTCCCTCGACAAGACTGAGTTACAATTACTAGTAGAAAATCCATCTTTTAACGTACAAACTGAATTCAACTCTTCAATTAATTGCAATTTCTGACATATTAATGCAAGAAGTATGTTACGTTTGTGCTTGTATATCCAGAAATTAATTGCAACTGTACCTGGCCTTAGATTTATTTGACTATTGTTATACGAAGATCTCAGGTTTTCACTATAGTTAATACTCTCTAGATGGATGATACTGTTGTACACTAGTAAAAGTTGCAAAAGATATTGTTTTATAATTAACTAGTTGCAGAGGACGCATCTATACCATAAACAAAATTTTCAGATGCCTGGTAGAGAAATTTGACTGAAATTTTAGTTTAATTTCTGCCATATTACCATTTATTATCTGGGGTGCCGGGATCAGGGATGCTTTTGCAAAAGATGAGGGGTGATCAATTATGGTTTTTGAGACTAATGGGGCCTTGGTCTTATTTCGCGAAACTGGTTGCCATATTTGTTTGTGTTAAATGATATTTGAACAATGCTTCATTTCAAATTAAGTAGGCCTTTCTTAGAAAACCAAAAAGTTACCATACATGCTTGTTAGCTTCGCATTTTCACTGCATTACTTCAACTTGGGTTAGTAGTTAGTACATGTAAATGATTTGTTTTGAGTTGCCCTAATCATTTTTGTTCCCTAGAAGAAATAATTGCAACAAGAAGAGGCCAGTATTTATGCTCTAAATATTAAGAGATTGAGGAGATACAAGCAAGATAAATATATATCTTGGGCTGTAAATCCCATGACGAATAAAAGGTTGAAAATGGTGAAATTGGTAACTAAACTCCCTAGGCCTGTCATTTACAAAATGATACATGAGCTACAAAATTACATTAGAACCATGATTTGATGTTCAACCCTAGCTCATTAGTTTACATCTTGTCGCTTTGAGAAGACTGGGGAAAGCTTCTTTTCCAATTCCACCAAACTGAAAATTCAACAAAATTATTTGTCAGCAAGCAACAAAATAAGCATATGTGCGACCCAGTATGCACGTAAACAGCATATGAATTTTTTTTACTTACATCTCATATTTACGCAAGGCTTCACTTCGTTTTGATACGTAGAGGTCACTATCTTTGGGTATGTTGTTCAAAGGATTGCCTACAAGCATTGAATGGATAATTCGCCGTAAGGTAAAATTTCTCAGATCCAATTGAACAAATAGAACACTTCAAGCCACAATCACAAGAAACACAAATAGATGATTGATGGTTATTGATAATTAATATGATAGTCTCACCACCCAGAGAATCAGCAAATTGAATACAGTTGCTCAATCTATAAAACAACGAACCAAAAGATCAAAATGAAACATGACATAAAAAGACATCAGTCATTTGCATATAATGTTCCATTCAAATTAACATTAACTTAGGTTGTGAAAATTTGGCCATCTACAGAGCAAGGTTATTGAATTTAACCAAACTATCAAATAAATAGAGCAAACAATAAGTGCGGCTACAGGCAACTTCAAAACTACAAATATCCATGCATCACACTTGAAAAGCCCAGACAACTTCCAGAAAACCTTCCACAGATGAGTTTTCTAAATAGACCAGCAGAGAAAACAAATCTGCTAATCTGAGATTGGAGATATGATTCACAAACTACACAGCAAAGGCTACTGAAAACCAAAAAATGGCAGTAGGAAATGAATTTTGGATAACATATCCATTTATTTTTCAAAATAGTGCTTTCTATAATAAGCAAAATAGTTTTCAGCATATAAGGCATCCAGATGATACAGTTATAGCACTTTTAATAAAGAACCCATAACCCCCTCAATGGAACAAGAAATACCCCAATAAAGCCAAAGTAGTATCTAAACATGCAGCTGAAAATGAAGCTCCACCTCACAGAAAAGCCAGCCAGATAATAACCACACAGAAGAAAGCATTTTAAAAAGAGTTTATTTTGCCTCTCATAGATTAAAATTTGTGTTTAAAACTTTTAGTCGTGCATTAACAAAATATCATTCTCAAATGTCACTTCAACTTCTAATTTTTTCAACAAGTAAGCCATACTTGGAAGCGGCATCAGTTGTTTCGGCACTTCACTCTTGTGAACTACAAGAGAAGTCTCTTGGTTGGGAAGAGAAGTTTCTTTGTTAAACTGCTGCAAGCCCTGCCCAAGACAACACAAGCATTAGGTAATAATAAATAAACAGTAAATAAAATACACAAATGAAAAGCCTTAAACAAAATAACACCTTTTTTCCCCTCCTCTTTAGTATCTTTAAATGACATTTTTTGATGTAGTGCATCAAGTGGTATCTCGAATGTCTAGAACACAACTGATCTTTAACCGCTGGATTATCATTTAACCAATCGGAAATATCTTTAGACTTCACAACTTCATCTTGATCCAACGACTCCAACCACGAATAAACCGGTATCCATTGATCAGTTCTCTGAAACCTCGCCGGTGGATCAGCCTGATTTCCATCTTTCTCCTTCAATACAAAATTAAGAAGAAGTGAATATCAAAATTAGAACAAGAACCCGTTTTAAAGAGTAAAAATATAACCTGAATGGGGAGCTTCATATAATTTTGAATAGAGAGAAGGCGATCGATGAGGTCTGAGCGAGGCATGGAGAGGAGGTCTGCCGGTAAAGAAGAATAGTTAGAGTCGATCCAAGCTTCGACTTGGTTCACATTCACGGCTTTACCCTCAGGAAAGGCGCTGAGCCAAGCTCGAGCCATGGTCTCCCATTCTTGTGATTGGTCACGGTGGTGTTGCAGCTGGTGATTGCTGTTAGTGTTAGAGTTTAGATTGGAGGGTGGTGGGTGGTGTTGTTGTTCTAGGGTTTGTTCAATTGAGTTGGACATTTTTTTAGGTTCCCGCGGAGGTTGTATGGCAGATTATGGTTTTTGCAATCGAATCACGAAATAATTAAGGGAAACATTAAGCATTGTATAGATAAATTAAATATATTTTTTTTACTAATTTTGCATAAATCTCAAAATATGTTATATATAAATATTATATAACTAATTATTGTTTGACTTACCCATTAAATATTGCTTAAATTTAAAAAAAAAAAAAATCACTGATGAATTCATTTTAATAAGTCATTTTTTTTTATTTAATTTGTAATAATGATCTCATGGAAGTCTATTAAATTTGCTCTCAAGCATATAGAAAAATCAAGGTTGTATTTGTCCTTATAAAAAACAAATAACAATTAAATCATATCTATAATAAACATAAAATAAAAGTAAAATAAAAACTCTCTCAGGAAATTTTTTTTTTTTTAAATAAATAAATACAAAAGCATACCATAAGGGACCTAAAAGCCAACGCAATAATCAAAGTTGGCAGATATACACATTGATAAGCATGACTGAAACAAACTACACCTAAAATTAAAATAAATAAAATTAGATAATGTAGTATAAGCTACAAAAATTGCGGCCTTCTCTGCCCAAAGAACCGGGAGACTGCAAAATCTTTTTGCTTCATGTCTACCTAGTCTTGTGAGCTTTGGCCAATTTTTTCTTTCTCTTCTTCACAGCCTTGGGGACTTTGGTCTTCCGAGCCTCCCTCTTCTCTTCTTTGACTTTCTTCTTGTTCTCTTTCCTGGCAGCTTTCTTATCGAGAGGTGCCTTCTTCCCAATTTCGGATGAAGAATCCCCTCCTTCTGAGTCACTGGAATGGTCTTCATCTCCATCTGTTTCAGATTCGGATTCCGTCTCAGAATTATCAGAATGACCAGCCTGATTGACAGATGATTCTTCCATAGGATTCCCATTAAGTTGCTCATCTTTATTGGCCAAAGAAGGTTCAACTCTGGATAGAGCATCCTTTAGTCCTGTAATTGTCTTATAGTACATGTCTCCTGTATCCTTGCCACTGGTTAGCCGTTGTACATCCTCCTCGGCGTTTTTAACATGTTCTAGGGTCTTCGGAATGTATGACTAGAAAACATTAGGGTAAACCAAGTTAAAATTTGTTGCACAAATTCAATCACCATGAATATATATATATATATAAATCTCAAACTCCAACTCTGTAAAATATCCCAAATGTTAATTTTCAGACCACACTATTAAGTCCTGTAAAAATCAAGAATTCAGATTTCACATGTTTCAATCATGCGTTTGTACATTGTAAAATTGGAAAAAGCACATCCACTCTAAACAATATCTTTGCAAACATTTGACTTCAATCTATGGCTTCAGATACCAATTCTATTTTATATAATGTACTGATCTAAAGCTTGAAAATATTTTCCCAACTAATTTTCTCTCATTACATCAAAACAGAATATGGTCTAAATAAGTTCTCTATGATTCACTCGCAGTTGCATGAATCTTCAAATTGGAAAGGAGAAGAGAATGATGATAAGGAGTAGAGAAACTCCCAGCTAAAACAAGAAAATATAATATTGTCATTAAACTAACCTGTACAAATACAGAGTCCGCAATTTCATCCTCAACAGATATATCTCCTCTTGCCAAAATTTTCTGTTGAGCCTGAAATAAGATGAAAGTATTTACAATGGAGATCCACTAAATTCTTTAGGAAAATCTGAAGCACAAATAAGGCACCATACCTCTTCCAAATAACTGTCCACACAATCATCAGCAATTGATGGGTCTACTATGAAGTCAAATAGCTCTCGGATTGTCATAACAGCTACACCATGTTTCTTAAAGAAATCCTGTGAGTAAAAAGTCCGGAATAATTAGTATTTGTAATCAAATTCACCTTTTAATTCTGCAGATTAATATTTTAGTCACTAAACTAGAAGCACATCCATTTTTAAGAGAGAGAAAAAAAAATCCTTACAGAAACATGAACACAATCTTCGCGCAGGAAATCAAGAGCATGAGGATGGTCGAGATCAACTGCTTGAGAGACATCAATGATAAACAAATGACCCTATCGAACAGATAGAAGTTTAAATTGCATGTCAATGGTTGTACTTGCAATCAATTTATATCTTACCATCAATACTAAAGTTCAACAAAAGTGCCTTATTTTCCCAACCATGCCAAGATAGGCATAGATGCAAGAAATTAAAAAAATTAATTAAAAAAATTAAAGATTCATCTCTTTTTCTGTAATGCATTAACCATCCTGGAAGCCAAATTCAACCAGTTCACCGATGGAAATAATAGGTCTTACCTCAAAATAAAGTATGTTATATTCACTGAGATCTCCATGCACCAGTTTGCACTTCTGATATAATGTCCGCATCGCAACTATAATCTGACAGAGACATGATTATAGGTTATAGCAAACATAAAAAACAAAGTAGCAATAAAAAAACATCCCTTTCCAGTAGCTTAAAAAGTGTGATCATTGAAGCTTTGATTGTTATTTCACAGACACTTTGTAATGTATGCAATACTAAAGAAGATATCACATGACTTGATCATAACTAACAGAACTCTCAACTAAGTGACTATATATATATATGAATAATTCATAATCTGTGATATATAGAACAAAAACAACCAAGAGATCTAGACACACCTCAACATAACCTTCACGTAATTTGTCTAAAGATAAAGCAGCATCCTTAAGACGAGGAGCAGCCCAACCAGATTTTCCTGTGACAAAATATTACCAATAAAAAGCTTCAATGAGCAAACATGGCAGTACATTTTACAAATATTAAACACTTTGTCCAACGAGGAGAAAAAAGAATGTAAGAAGGACAAACAAAAGTATAAACAGAGCCACCGTTTATTTTCTAAAGTTATAATAGGTCAAAGAGTTAAATAACCTATATGGGGGATCAATTAAATCTCCACAAAAACTAACATATATAGTGAAATTTCAGTTAGACAGCAATCAAGTCGATGATGCATAAATTATATATGAGAGAGAAAACTTCATTAAAATATTGCCGCTATAACGAATTAATTTTGATCTAAGATATCTAGAAGGTAAAACATATAAATTGAATGATTGCTCCGTTCCCGAGTCTAAGCCATTGAATCAAAAGCCCACTCACCAAACTTTTCTTAGAACCCTAAACCTCTAGAAAACAATGCATATCTCAATACCTATAAATTCCATGACCAGAACATGAAGTCGCAAAAGATAGGGAGTTGGACACCTAATTCCAGCTGCCTTGAGCCTGCAATTCACAACAAACATATCATATACCAGTGCCAAATTAAAAAATAAAAAAATAAAAAATAAAAAAAAGTTGATTTTAATTCACAGCATATGAAAGCAAAAGGGTAACAATCAAATTATTTTAACACATTACCATAATTCAGAATTCTGTTGCTTTGGGGAAAAAAATCATAAGACAGTATAAAAAGTTTAAAATAAAGTCAATACTACAAAAGAATCAAAATGTTCCTAGATGACAAGAAAGTGTCAGCCTTACCTCATAAGATTCCTCATTTCTTTTTCAGCCCATGTCTTCACCATTTTCCTGGGATTGTGCTTGCAGTATCCATATCTGAAACGGTAGTCACCTTGCACGTAGCGGTCTCGGTCCCTGACATTATTTTCAAACACTAAGTTGAGTCGCATCATTCAGCACAGCAGATAATAGTATTCATAAGAATGGAATTCAATTTTATTCGATTTATTTCAAGAAAATTACAGGCATGAAGGCAGTTGCTAACCAGTATCACAGAAGTGCAAAATAAAAGTACATAGATGCTCCTATGGTTCAATATAAAGTGCCACTGACTAATGTGACTTAATCCCTAGACCATGAAGAGAAAATAATAATGATGAAAAAGAACTTACTTGAAAACCAGAACAGAAGTCTTGTACACTTTAATTGCTAGTTCTGGACCATCAGATTTTGTTGCATGATAAACATTTGCCTAGTTAAATACAACAAAAGGAACTTAAAGATTAGTTGTTCATGAGACTTCATGACAGTTAAACTTTGAGCATTGTAGCTATCACGATATGCTGTTTAGAAATGGGCTTAAAGTCATGATTGAACTGAAAATTTTAAGGAGCTGTTTTCTTTCCTTTATAGGAAAAATATAAGGAAGTGCTGCACTACATACTTCTTTTCCAGTAGATATACAGCCGTTAATATCATGAAATACACCTCGATTCAGCATTTTAAATAGAACCATACGAGTTCTAGGATCAATGGCCTGAAGAAAATGGAACAAATCACATAAGAAAAATAAACTGAAGACATATGTACATGCAGAAACACAACACAACAAGTCTCTGAATTTTAAAAGTAAAAATTAATGAAATAATAAATACAATAAGATTTCACCTGCTCAACAGTTGCGCGATCTGCTTTCTCAGTAGTCTTAGTTTTACCAATGGCCATCTCTCGAACACTAACACGAATTGCAGTTGTCACAGAATTCGACATCCCAACATTCATCCTTCCCTCCCATTCCTGCATCATTAATTGACCAGATGAAACAAAGACAATGGTAATCATAGTTCAAGTACCAAAATTTTGATCCTGTTGAATTTTATTACTACCAAATAAGATTAAAAAACAAGGATAAACAAATTAACTGCAGAACAAATTTTTTGGTGCAATTGAACTGAAAACTGAAATAAAAAAGAGAGTTATACCTCTAAAGGTGAAGCTCGAATGTGATGAGTAAATTTCTGATTTTTATTCGATAGAGGTTGAAGAGTTGATGAATTAGGGCGAGAGTGAAGACCTCCATGCGCATTTGGGCGCCTCGAACTGAGCATAAAAGCCCCATCCACCGGTTCATCATCATCTTTAGAGTCCAAATAATCCAATGCCTCTCCAATTTCGGAATCTGAAGACCATCCCTCCTCTTCTTCTACTTCCTCGTCATCATCTACTTCTTCTTCTTCGGCTTTATCCACCGCCAGTGGTTTTTCTTCTACTATTGACATCTCCACTCTTTTTATTGAGCCCCAAAATTAGAAAATCTTGATTTCAGATTAAAAAGAAGGGAATTATAACGTATTTTCATCGAAGAAAGCAACTGAGTATTGAGGGTTAGTTTGATATTCATTCCAATGGTAAATTTCAGAAAAAGTAATAAGAACAAATAACTTACCAATAAGTATAAAACAAGACAAGCCTACTGTCTAAAATCGGGCAGTTGGTCTGGGTTTTGGTCTCTTTTCTTCAATGCGCGCAACTCTCTGTTTCGAGCTAGGGGGGTTTTGGTCTCTCTTCTGCAATGCGCGCAACTCTCTGTTTCGAGCTAGGGTTTTAGATTTTGAAGACAGAAAACTTGTTTTTGGTAGACAACAGTCAGTGGGGCTCACGGTGCCAGCCACGTGGATTTAGCCTAAAGAAAAATTTTTAATTAATAGTAAATTATACTTTAAATTGTTACTTTAATGAGGGGTTTTGGTTATTACAAAATACTTTTAACCATTTAATATTAATATATAATTTTAAAAAAAAAAATTATGATCATCTATACCAAAAACAAATTCACCCGTCTCATGATTGAATAGATGAATAAATGTAAGTTTAAAAATCACTAATTTTAATTAACAGTAATGAAATAAGATGGAAACCTAGTTTGGGGTTACTGTAGAGCGAAAATAAATAAATTTTAAAAGAGATTATATATAAAATAAATAATGAAATAATCTATATTATAAAAGGATGGAAATATTTTTATAGAATAATTTATGATTCAGTTACATACTTGATCAATGAAAAAAAAAAAGATTTTGGCCGAATTGTTAACCATGGCACTCTTTCCCAATGGTCTTTTGTTGGCTGCCAAATCGAGTGGCTCATACCAACGTAAATAATATTTCACAAACTTGGTGAGCCATGCATCTGAAATTTCTTTCCGTGTCATTTGGAATAAAGAAATGAATAAGGAAAATATTAGGTCTTTCCAACCGTACCAATTGTGTAGTTGGAACCAACTCATTCCGATGCGTGGCCGTGTGCAAAAAGACTACAAATAATGACTTATCTTAAATGTTTATAATACATAAATATAAAATTTTAATCTTTTTTATAAGTAAAATCATCGACATAATTAAAATAATTAACTTCTTATTTCGTTATTATGAGTTCTTAAAAGTGCAAATTAACTATCTTCAATAATTTTATTGAATTAATATTTTAGTGATTTCATCAAGTAAGGCAAGGTTTATAAGAGAATTTATATTTATATACAAATACAAGTTGTCAGGAAATGGTGAAACACACCTAACCACCTCCACAACAAATTCTGGTTACATCATTTCTCTACACCATCCTCCATCACATTTCAAGAAAGAAAACCTGACAATTATTTAAAACAAAATTTGACATTTCTTGTAAATCCAAACTCTAAATAATTGAGTTTTTATCATTAATTCTTATAATAATCAATTTCAATTTCCAAAACCTTTTTTTTTCTTTATAACATATCTACACAAAAGTAAATAAAATAAAATGAACATCATACCCCCAAGTTCACACTAAAATTCGCTTTCTAATCCCCATCATCAAACGGGCCCCACATTCCCAGCTCCCACGATCTCCATTCCTTCAACCCCATCACCATCATCCTCAATAATCCATCGATCCATCGGTACACATTCTTTCTTATGTCTCAACTTCCAATCAAGCGCCTGACATCCTCTAGAACAATAATTTACGGTCCCACAAACGGAACACCGTCGGAACTCGTGTGAACGCGTCTCGGGTCGACCGCACCCCCTATGCGAACACAACCTTAAACCGGGGGCTAACTCACCCTTACCCGACTCGAACCACTCTTTTAAGAATCTGTTCACCGGGTGCATCTCGGGCTCACCCACATTATACCCGAAATCACTTAATAACGGACAACCCGAAGTAGTTGAACCGCAATGTAAACGTTTGGGATGAGGTGTCCGCGTCAGAGGTAAAGGTGAAGATTGCATGAATTCACGTGCGTTAGCTTCGACTAATAATCGGCGACCTTTCACGATGTTTTGCCGCACGCCGTAGCCGTCTTGAAGGCAATGACCTAGCTCACGTACGGCGTCGATGTGCCCGAGGAAAGCGGCTCGGGCGCACAGCGCGACGCCGGCTCGGAGATCTTTCTCGTTTCTAGAAGCGCCGCTGCCGTTGAACTGTATCACGGAGAGAGAATAAAGAGCCGGCGCGTGTGATTTGATGGCGGCCTTAGCCATTAGAGAGGTTCCGCTCGCTTGGTTTTGTAAACAGTAAAACCGGATCTGTCACCGTCAGAAAAACACGTTAAAACGGCAATTTAGCTGTGAGATAAGTGATACGATAAGTATAAAACTAAAAATATATGTACGGACCATGCCGAGAGCGTAGGCGGAATCGGTGTTGCCGGCGTTAACACACAGTTTGAGAAAACGGTGCGCCGACTCTGACCAGTTCTTCGCTCTGATTGCGAGTGTATTTGTACCAGCTTTTGATAAAACCAGTGGATGAAGACCTAAATGGTTCAATCTTTTGCATCTGTTCATTTAAAAAAAAAAAATAAGAGGAAGAAGCGAGCAAGAAAAAGTAGTATAATGAAAAGCATGCATGAACTGCAAAAACAACATACGTTAAGAGGACGTTGATGAAATCTGAGGGACAAGAAGCGGAGGAGCTGAGCTTGGAGAGGATGTAAACGACAAGATCGTCCGGTAGTCCATCGAGAAGATCAGGTTTTTCGGCGAGGTCCGGTTTATCCGGTTTGGCGGCGACTTTAGGAGAAGTTTTGAGTTTTTTCCTGAGAAACATTTGATTGATGGTGTGTTAGGACAAAGAAGAAAGTGGTGAGTAATTACGAGAGAAACGGGAGTGTGTGTGTGTGCTCCTTTAAATTTTGTTCTTATATGAGTCGTGGTTGCTTTGTCTGCTCTCTCTTTAACTGTGCTCTTCTCGATAAAAGCGAAACGAAAATCAAACCCAATGTTGCGTTAAATACAGAACACCCCCAAAACGCACCAATGTCTTTCGTTTTGGATTGGACCCACTTAACTTAAAATTGAAATGATTTTACTATTAAACTAATCATTTCATAACCCTATTGTGATCCCCCGTTTTACTTAAAACCCAGATCTCTCGTAACCTTCCGATCTACGAGAAGCTTGTTTATAATTATATAATTATATTTTTCTCTTTGATGAAATATTTAATTTAAAAGAGGTACATGATATTATAAAATTGAAATAATTTTATTATTAAACTAATCACTTTATAACTCAATTGTGATCTCCCATTTTACCTAAAACCCAAGTCTCTCTTGATCTTTCGGTCTACAAGAGCAGCTTGTTTATAATTATATAATTGTATTTTTCTCCTTGATAGAATATTTAATTTGAAAGAGGTCTAATATGATATTATGATTTTACTATTAAACTAATCATTATATAACTCAATTGTGATCTCCCGTTTTACTTAAAACTCATATTTCTCTTGATCTTTTGGTTTATGAGAGCAGCTTGTTTATAATTATATTTTTCTTTTTGATGAAATATTTAATTTGAAAGAGGTCTAATATGATATTACAATTTAATCGCTATCAAAATTTTGGAATTTAAGTTGTATTCAACCTTTCTTTCTCTCCATCCAAACATGTCAATTCAACTTATTCTACAAGATTGACTTTATTATTATTAATTTTGGCCCACTATTTTTTACCCCCAATTTATAGTAAAATAAATATTCCCCCTTAGTTTTTGAAAACGTCCACTATTACCCTCAAAGTTACTCTCCGTCCGTCACATTTTCTAGTTTGACCCTTGTTTTCATTATTAAGAAAATTAATAATTTTAAAATTAAATACTAAAAAAATTGATGGAATTAACAATTAATAACACATTAAGAAATAATCAAATATAAAAAATTAACCCTAAAAAGGTTCATCAAAATCATAAATTTTCAGTCAGCATAAATCATATATGTGAGGTGAATTGTCAAGATTGCTCTGTTATAATAAAGTTTAACATCTGGATTTAAAAAAATATGGATAATATTGGGTGTTTCTAAAACAAAAGGGGGGACATTGTCCTTTTGAAATACATTGGGGGACAAAATGTCATTAGACTTTATTTATTTATTGATTTTTAATTTAAAGAGCAAAACATAAAAGATTTGCCGACGTCGATATTCTTAGAAAACATGTACAATGAATGGTCAAAGTGGCCCCCGGAAGAAGGGTAGCAAAACTGATTCAATCAGGAGAAATAAGTAAGAATTCATAATTTAAACATCTGGTCTTGGAAGTTAAAATGTCATGGCAATGGTTGAGCGTTTTGAGGTTTGCATTAAGTGACAATAGCTTTCAATCTCTACTTCTTTCCTTTCAATTAATTAATAACTAAACCATCTTATTTCCCCAAATAATTAAAGCTTGGATACGACATTTACCTGTTCAATTCAAAATTAGTACAATCTTTAATTGTCAACCATAACTTTCTCATTGAATTTTTATTTCTTTCTTCCTAGATTTAAACCTTAAAACCATCTATAACAATAATATTATAATTTATTTAATTATTTAAGTTTATAAAGTATTTAATAAACTTCAAAAATTAGTTAAGATATACACAAACTAATATGAAGACCCTGATTATCATTATATATATATATCAAAAATATATTAATTATGTATTTCACAAGTAAGAGGTAACGTCAAAACAATTCACAAAGATTAACATTACCCTGTTAACCCTTCATGAAGATAAATAAAAATTTTTAATTGATCCTATAACTATTTTAAGGGACTTCTGATGATTCCTAAACAATATGATAAACGTGCGATTTGACTGTATGGCTATGCCAAATCCCCAAGTAAAGATGGAAAAAATAAAAAATATGTGGTGGTTTATTTTTCAAGTTTCGATAGGATGTCACATGACAAGATGCGTCTAATACAGGTTTGGAGAAGAGAGTAATTAATTAATGGTTTTCTTTGTTCAAGAAAATAAATAAATAAATTATGTGACGCCTGCCCCAAACTTGCTTCAGATTGTGCTAACTTAGAAGAATGATCACAGCCATAACCTATTTCTTTTGCACTCTATTTAATTATAGAGTAAACGATTTTTTCCCAACGAAGGTTTGCCTTAATGACACTTTCCCACCTAAAAGATTTCAAAATAAAACTTTCTCATCCAAAGTTGATATTTTATTTACTATCTAGAATACACTTTCTAATTCTACGGTCAACAGATAACAAACTCAGCCTAAGCTATTAAAGTTTTTAAAGAGGGGATATCGATGAGTCTTTTGATAGTGGTAAGTTAGATTTTAATGGTTGGGATTGATCGAAATATAACTTAGGAGGGGCGGCTATACGTTTCATAAATCACTCGATTGTCGGCGATTAACGAGGTCGATAAGAGTAAGGTTTGAAGGGTTTTGATGAGTAATGATCAGAGAAGAGAATAATGATGGTTTGGAGTCGTAAAGATGTTAGAATCAATCTACAATTGGTCATAATATAAACTTTGGATGGCAAAGTAATATTTTGAAATTTTTTGAATGGAAATAATTATTAAGGCAAACCTTGGGTGGAAAAAGTCGTTTACTCTTAATTATATCATACACTGATCTTTCTTTCTCCCTTTTGCATATCAATAATTTTGTGAGAGCTTTTTAACAAAATCACGTTAATTTATCATGAATAAAAAATAATAAACAAGTTGAGTTGACATATAATAATTATCAAATTGGGAGGCTGTGAAAGGTTTGCAAAACAAGTTAAGGTAGGATGGAGATATTTATGAGTGGGAGGAATAAAAAATGGGGATTTGTCTTTGTATATAATTTGGATAAGGTGTGATTGTGAAGATGTGGAAGAGTTGGTGGAAAACTAATCCATTTGAATTTGATTACCAATAAAAGGTAAAGGAGACGACGATCAGCTCTCTGGTTTGGTAGAGAAGGAATATTGCATTGGTGTGGTGAGCCGCAATTAATATTTTTTACTTTTCTCCTTTAATTATCCTTTCATATAATATAAGGCCCCTTGTGAATTCAGACTTATGAAGAAATCGGCTTAGCACCCAATCCTGCTTGGCTAATCATTTCTGGAACTACAAGATAAGTCAAAATTCTGAACAACGTGTTCACCATCAAAAGTGGCCACCATCCGATAATGGATTTATCGTATATTTTCAAAATTATTTTATTATAAGAAATATGTATACGTATTTAAGAAGAATAATAGTATACGTATGCGGTATGCCTTCCACCCGTGGACATTAGAAGCCTAAGGCGACAGAGATTGATATATATATATATATATATATATATATATATATCGATCGATTCTTACGTCAAATGATTTGTAAATTGTAAGAGGTAAGAACAAACTGTGGGAATTAGCCAAGATCACAAGCAAGGGTTGCATCACCAGACTACTAATTTTTTTCTTTTCATCAACTTCGAGAGTTTGGTCGGTCATCATACACAGTAAAATATAAACCTGCATGATTGCTTCTTCTTTTGGGTTGGCGATAGCCGATAGATGACAGCGAAGTTGTTCTTTGTTTTTTCTTTACTTACTTTGTGTTTCAATATTTTCAAATAATTAAAAAACCTTTTGTGATTTTTTTTTTTTGATATTTTTCTAGAGGTTTTTCTGATATTTTTCAACCCTTTTGTTAATTTCACAAAACCCTCTCGAAAACACTGTGAAATCTTTTAGAAAAATCAAAAAATTCTTGAAAAATATTTAAAAAATCTCTTGAATAAAATTAATCCTATCTTAGTACACTACTTTTATTTCTTCTTAAAAAAAAAAAAAAAAAAAAGAGAAAAAAACTTTTTGTAGGAACATGATAAGACAAAAAGGAACAGTATGAAACGCTCTATATATTATAACGTTTGCATAGACAGTCAATAATGAAAAGGGAAGCGAAACTTGGCTTGTTGACCTCGCAACTGAGGGGAGACTGAAAGTAAGAATGATGAGGAACCCTAGTGGTTGATATGAACCCCACAAAACCTATTTTGGTTTAAAGATTTGTATAACCAACAGATGGAGAGTCAGAAAGAGAGAGACATGCCACCTTAAAGGAGATGCATTTTATCCGATGGTTTCATGTTTTTTGCTCCACTCCCAATCTCATTATTAACTTGAGGCAGCCGCACTAAAAGCCTTTCCACATGCTACAATTTTATGATCGAACACCTTCAGAATGACACATAAGATAAGAATAAGAAACAAAATATTATTACAAAAACAATGCTCACTGTTGAAGAATTACCACATTCATCCAAACATCTCCTGTGCCTCGAAACCGGAGGGATGTTAACTGCTTCCGGAAAGCATTTATTGGGCTTTGGGCACATGCAAATATGCAATTGGAGCATCTGTGTTCATCGTCCCAATCCAAGTTTTGATTACAAATGCATTTGGTTTATTATTTCATATCCTATTCCTAATCATATTCTCCAAATAACTGTTTGTTTTATTATTGAAGAAATATTATTATATTATATTTAATTTTTTAGACTCCTTAAGTTTATTAACTTAATTAAATCCCATAAAAAAAAATTTAAAAATTAATAAAAATAACCCCACCTACTCATAGTTGCTAGATTCTGACAACCACCATTGGTTGTGACCGGAATCTATCACAACGGCATAAAAACGACTGAAACTGACCGTTTATTCTCTAATCTAGCCGTAGATCTGGCCGAAAAAGGCCAGATCGATGCATCACCGACTGGTCTGCATCGTAACGACAGATTCTCATCAGATTCTGATGGTGGTGGCTGGAATCTAGTATTGTGGTAGGTAGGGGTGTTTTTGTTATTTATAAATTTTTTATATATTATGGTGTTTAGTTAAATTAACAAACTTATAAGATTTTTTTGTTAATTTTTAAATTTTATCTCATAATAATCACTCTATTCAA